CCCACACCCACACCCACACCCCCACCACCCACACCCACACCCCACACACCACCCTAATTCTTGAAGAAATGTTAAAAGATCAAGTTGAAATCTTAAGAAATCCTAGTGAAGTCTTATAAAATCCTAGTGAAATCTGAAGAAATCCAAGTGAAATCTTATGAAATCCTGGTAAAATCTCAAATCCTGGTGAACTCTTATGAAATCCAAGTGAAATCTCAAGAAATGCTGGTGAATTCTCGAGAAATCCTAGTGGAATCTAATGAAATCCAGGTAAAATCTCAAGAAATCCTGGTGAAATGTGAAGAAATCTTAGTGAAATCTCACGAAATCCAAGTGAAATCTTATGAAATCCAAGTGAAATCTGAAGGAATTCTGGTGAAATCTCAAGAAATCCAGGTGAGACCTTTTGAAATCCTGGTGAAATCTCGAGAAATTCTAATGAAATCTTATGAAATTCTGGTGAAATCTTATGGAACCCTGATAGAATCTTATGAGATCCTGGTGAAATCTTAGGATATCTTGATAAAATATCGCAGAATCTTGGAAGATCTAGTTGAAATATGGGGAATCCCTGAGGGAATCTGCGTTAAAACGACGGGAAGTCGCTAGGGTTGTTTCAAGCTCGAAGGAAGTGCGACCGTATGTGGCCGGAACCTTACGTGTTCAGATGATTCTTGGTTCGTAGATACTGAAGAACACGGCAACAACTTCGGTCAGATACGATAGGATCCAATCGGATCATTTCCGACATAATCCCGGTCGGAATCCGTTAGTTAGGATTCTGGAGAAATGCGGTAGGGTTCCGATCGGTTTTTACAGGGAATCCGACTGATTCTAGTGCACTCCGATATGGGATTCGATAGTTTCCGGTAGGATCTACAAGTCTGATTGAATCACCTGGGTTCGTAATCCATAGGATCATCAATAGATATATCAACTGTTCTATTTAATTTCGATATCTATCTTTGGCATTATGCATTATCATAAAATCCTTTTGCAAACACTATTATGGACTTTATATCGTTTAGTTGGATTGTGTAATTTTTTTACATAATTCACATAAATAATCATACTCATGATGTATGATTATTTCATAATCGTTTATCGATTTAACATAACTATAATAAAGTGTTGAATTTTATACAGCTTTAATAAGAAATTGACCTAAATTTTCTGGTGATGAAAATCGATTTGTATCAATAAATGAATTTGGACTATAAAGATTTGAATATTTAGAAAATACAACTAGTATCGTACGAAGATTAATTATTACGCTAGCATATTTTTCTGCTACAAAATCACGATAGAAGGGATTTTCGAAAGCAAGATCAAATGGATCTGTGTATCAGCTATGTCATTCAAATATTCTTGTTATTCTTTACGATATTTATTCCATGAACAAAATCCAATACGTGTTACAGATATAATTGAATTAAGACGTTTCAAATCATTTTCACAATTATTATATGAATAACAAGTACTAATCATTGGTGTTGCACTTACTTGACGATTATTTAAATATGATTGTTCTGGTAATCCTCTATTGACTTTATCTTATCGAAGTTAATAAAAATATCAATCAATAATATCTGAATCTTTACGATACTGACAAAAAGGTATACTGGCTAAATGATAATTTATCATGAAGAGCACAAAAATTGGATTATTTATGCCTCTCTATGAGGGCGTATGTGGATGGGTGTATTGATAGAGATATACATCCAAACCCACGCTCACATCCATACCCTCAAGAAAAATAGTTTATAAACAGAAAATATAAATAATTATGTATTTGAAAATAAGATTTTATCGAAATTTTTATTATTTCATACTCGAAGTCGAATTTCACCAACTTTTTCGTCATAAATTATAGTGTCGTGGGTTCCAGCTAGAAAATATCTCCTATTTTTAACAGTTCTGTACGTATATGATGGCTATTCACTCACCATTTTTTTCTATATGCATATTTGTTTACAATCGATCGGAACCATTACATGAGAACCATAAGTTTTTCGTGCAACACTCTATACAATATATTTTTTGTAAATATTTCGAGAAAAAATGACATCACATAAAGAGAGATCAATCTAAGAATACAGCTCAACCGCGATCTGACTGGTTTACAATGTTGCATCAAACAATAATGTTAATTGTACTAGTTAAGTATTGATAGATATAATGCAGGAAAGAAAAAATTATGCATACGGTGAAACCTAGACTCGAACAGTATTTTCAGAAACTGACCGATGCCTCGTCCGCTTGCTGAAGAAAATGTGTTGTGAATCACGACACATTTGAACTTAGAGTGCGTGCAAGAAGACTTTTTTATGGATAGATGTTTTCAAATATGTTCTTATAAGCTATAACAAGCATATCTCCATTGGAAGTTCTTGTGACATATTTTAGAATTTCTAAAGTTATAAAATCTGTCAACATTTTTATCTCATCAGCAGAATTCATATAGAACCTTTTGTATCATCCTCCTGTTTGTGTCACAATCTCAGTAAATTTGTCTTCTACATCACGTGCTACAAAAAAAGCATGTACGAATACATTACTCGATACTAATTTTTCTAACGCATCCTCATCATCAATTGATTGTAAAAATTTTGTTTCTTCGTCCAATAGTCTTGGTCGAAAATCCTCTCTCTTCTTACTTTCGTCATCTTTCGTATGTTGATGTACATGTCGTATCAAAACAACTTGTGTAATACTTTCTCATGTCAGAAAATAATTTCCATATCCTCATTATCTCAAACTTCATAAAAACACGTCAATTATCTCGTTCAGTTTCTCAAGGTGAGTAGTGAAGAATTTTATGGGTGTAGGTATAGCTATTCTCTAAATTCACACCATAAAATGCACATGAATCTTTCTATACTACCAAAGTATTTCGTAATACTTCATTTCTGGAGGATTTATATATTTCTCATCAAGTACTTTCAAATTTCATGCATAATTAATGTTCTCTTTTATGCTTTTTTATTCTAGCGATCGTAAAACGATTTATGTAAAGCCAGATAGTTGATGAGTATGGGTAATGTGAGATCGGGATATGAGCACATGGTTATATCTAATAAACACAGATTAACATGCAGAATCATTATCCTTCCTATGTAAATATAAGTTTTTTTTCTTTCCTAACATTCAAATCGCACACAAGTGAAGAAACACGTAACTTTAGGCGGTGTTTTTCGTGATATACACATATCACAACTTGGCGTTTTGTCTCATTCAGATTGAATACAACATTTTCAGCAAATATTTTCATTTGAAGTCAAAGGCAACACACGTTACTTCAGGCAATCAAACATATCAGGAGTTCGTGCTACCAGATAAAATAATATTATTGGTATGCTAGTATCTTGAAGGAGGTGAGATTCTCTATTCTTTTTTCAATCTATATTCTCGGCTTAATTCAACAACAACAACAACTGATTTCTGTCGTCATATAAATCTCATGTGTATAGCATATAGAATACTTGGTTTTATTACGATTGAAATCAGTTCCCACATTGTTTTATCTATATGTTCATATGTGTTCAATGGATTTTGGGATAATATTTTATTCAAAAAACTATGTTCAAGGTTCTTTCATTCAAAGTTATCTTTAATTTTTCCACAATTGCAGTCAATGTCACTTGTGTATTTTATCCAGATGCAATCAACTTCGTTTCTTCATCCTATTACACATATTTTGCAACTTGTCAAACTTGATATTATAAGTTTTGAAGGTGTTCATACAGAAGAATCGTTCAAATAAATTCTAGCTGCTAATGACAATCGATTGAAATCCGTTTTATTCGATAATACTTCGGTGAGATTTATCTACCTTCGATCGTCGATAATGAACTTAATTCTTATCCGAACATTGAAGAATAAATTGAGAACTTGACAACACATAAAACTTTAGGATATTTATTCACACATGTATCAAATATTAAGCGTTTACATATTGGTTTTAGTCAATTATCATAGATTTCCACAACGACATTGATGAATGTAGCCTCTCTTGTTCATCTAAAAGATTTTCAGTTACGTTCGATAAGCACAGACTAGTCATTAGATGAAATTGCTCATATTTTAGGATGGCACCTTTGAACCATTTAGCATTGAATCTATATAAAGTAGATACAGATCTCATACATGGACAAAACTTTATTCAAATATTATCTTCATCTGTAATCGAGATTAATTTATTCATTATGTGAGTGCGTGGGTGTGGGTGTGGTTGGGGCTAGGGTGTGAGGTGCGTGGACTGTGATTCTAGGGCAAGAGGATATCAAAATGTTACACCCACACCCACTAACTTTTATCGATGTATATATGTAGTAGAGTGATGATGAAAACTGCATGTTAAACGAAAAAACGACTGGAAAATGAGTTTGAATTGAAACAGGGCTACACACAACGATGATAAACAAGGCAACTATTGAAAAACATTTACCGAGTTTCTGTGAGAATTAGAGGCCATCCCAAAGACAAGATTTTATCGAAGTATCGATTTCTGACGAGAATTGTTAATGAGCTAGAAATGCAACAAAAAGTGACAGTCGAATCCAATATCTTCTTTTATAGGTAGAGGGGACCGTTGAGCTCAAATTCAAGTCACTCATCAATATAAAACAACGTACTATCACTTGTGAAGGCTGAGTATTTCACCCATCCTATGCAACGATAGAAACAAAAATAAAAACAAAATCGTTATACGCTGCACATTTGTCTAACCATCAATTAACGTCACTTTTCGTCAATTAAGCCTTCAGATTAATTAGTGATAAAATAAGCAAAAGAAAAATGATGTCTTTTAGAGAGAAAACCTGGTGTCTCTCATTAATGTAATGATAACACTTCATCTCACGTATACGGTTGAATGCTCGTAAGCCAAACATTTTGTCGATATGTACATAAGCAGAAAAATGCAATCATTTTATACATTAAACCACATCGGTACATCACGATCGTATCACATTTACCTTTACAATCTACATCGAATTAACACAGGAAGTAGACGTAAGTCTTTTAGTATTTCAGTATCTTTCGTATAGCTTTTTATTTTATCGGTGTTCAGAAGAGTTGTCAATTGTTAAGTAATACCGACAGTTAAGCATAGTTTATGTGAGCTTCAAATTGTCTCAATGTATCGAAAAGAGAAAATGAAAGTAAATAATGACAACTTTTTCCAATTAAAAAAATAAGGAAGTGGTTAATTACTTTTTCTTGTTAACATAGAATCTTTGCAGCTATTGGTAGGGATGCAACAAATCTTGAGGTCAATTTGGATTTGGCTTCAAACTCTTAGGGTTTGGGTTTTTATTTGGTTTTGTATTTCTATTTATATGATTTGCTTGGATTCAGATTTAGGTCTATAGCCCGAGTTTGTCATTAATTTGGACATGTAGTTTAGATGTGGAATCTGGATTCCGATTTGTTCTGTGGTTCTTACAAATTTAATAAATAGTTTTGGATTTGCTATTATATCTACAGGATCATAGGTCCTCAAGAGCTATTACATGGAGGTACCCGTAAGTCCTCAAAAGCTAATATATGAAGGAGTGACCAGTCAGTATGATACCTTATTTTGACACAGTTCTATCGTGAGGATAAAACGTACTATTGTTCGGGTAATATAGGAGGGATCCTAGATAACCAAGGATTGATCGGAACAACATCATGTTTTATATTGACGATAGTACAGTAAACCTACCAACTCACAGCATAAACTAATAGATTTTCTCCATTATCGTAAGGATAAACCATGATGTTGTTCGGATCGATCCTTGGTTATCTAGGATCTTCTCTTATATTATCCGAACAATAGTATGTTTTATCCTTACTATACACCGCTGAACAAAAGTTTAGGCCTTTTTGTTTTGCTTCTTTTTTTTTGAACAATAAGCGATAGAAATTCGATTTAAGAAGTGATATAGATAGCATGAAAGACGTACTATTAAATGCGTTATGAGATGTGAGTAGATCTTCTAACCGTGGTTTTTAAAAATTAGAAAAATATTTTTAGGTGAAACACTTGTTTGTTTGCCTTTTAGTATTTTGCTGTTTTTAACATAAAAATTTTCGCTAAAAATCTGAAACCTTCATGCTTTGATAGAAAATTTCACGAGCTATCCACTGTCAAAAATATTTTGAACTTTGCACTCCATTTCGGCCACCTAAAGTTCGTTTTATTGAATCCCACCGCAAAAACTCGAACAAGAGCAATTTACTCCGTTAAATTAAATCCTATGTTAATGTATTATACGTCAAAAGAAAGAGCATAAAAAACTGCACACGATGATCTATTTTTGAAGTTTAAAAATAATCAGATTTTCATAAATCTTTTTAAAAGAAAAGGTTTTAACTAATTCGGCTAGCCTTTGTTTTTTTAGAACTTTCGTCATGAAAACTAAACTTTTTTATTTTTAAAATTAGTCAAATAAATAGAGCACAAAATTCTACACAAGAATATGTCTTTCTTCGAATTGAAAAAGAAAAGAAAAAAAACAATTTGCCAAATACTTTGCTGTACTCACATGAAAATGTCCTTTTGTGAAACACGATCTGAAAGGAGTGTTGAAGTGTTTAAGGGTAGAAATGTGGACCCACCCCCCTCCCCCCCACAGACCGTGATAGAGAACCCCAGAAACCATCACAGACCGTGACAGAGAATTCCAGACACCATCACAGACCGTGACAGAGGATCCCAGAAACCATACAGACCGTAACAGACAATCCCTAGAAACGATTACAGCCCGAGACAGAGAAAGTATAGTTTTGAGACATCGAATAAACGATAAGCTATTTATCATAACCCTATAATCCCGTTTGTTCTTTTTTTTTAATTCTGAACTTCTAGTCGATTTAATTCTGATCAAAACGAGACGTTTCTGGCTTCCTAGGCCATTTTTAGAGCAAGTTATAAGCAAAATACTTTTGAGAGTGAGACACACTGGCAAAACATAACATCTTTCCAAATGAATTGAAAGTTTTTCATTTTAGGACTTTAAATTGTGACGATGAACTAAACCAAGAAGGACATATTCTTGTGTAGAATTTTGTGCTCTATTTATTTGACTAATTTTAAAAATAAAAAAGTTTAGTTTTCATGACGAATGTTCTAAAAAAACAAAGGCTAGCCGAATTAGTTAAAACCTCTTCTTTTAAAAAGATTTATGAAAATCTGATTATTTTTAAACTTCAAAAATAGATCATCGTGTGCAGTTTTTTATGCTCTTTCTTTTGACGTATAATACATTAACATAGGATTTAATTTAACGGAGTAAATTGCTCTTGTTCGAGTTTTTCCGGTCGGTTTCAATAAAACGGACTTTAGGTGGTCGAAATAGGGTGTGGGTGTGAGTGTGGGTGCCTCCCCTTTTTTTAAATGAATACCACACTCACACTCCCACTCTTGGAAAGAAAACCAACTGACTCTGATGGGTCTTTTATATGTCGAATCGTTAGAATATTTTTACTTGCCCGATTCACAATTCTAAAACGGTGATTGTGATACCTTGATCAAGATTCGAGAGATCTGACGTTATTCTACCGACTGTTTTAAAAATGATGACCAGAAAAGATGTTTAAGATCTCTCATCTGTAACTATCCATGCCATAGAATTGAAAACAGAAAAAATAATGTGCACTAGTTTTGACGAAAACCACCAATTATTAAATAAGCGTTAGCTGATTAAATAAACATTCTAAGTGGTAGGTTTAATGGATGTTTTAATGTGCTGCAGTATTCATGCAAGTGGTTTGATCGAGGATAAATTCATCACTAAAAATCTTGTGCAATCTCCTCAACATGATAAACACACTTATTTAATAGGTGCAAAATCGTTGAGAATGCACAGAAAAGTTGTCCACTTTTACGTATATCGACTGAATGGATTAGTCAAAAATATTGCATTGACAGTTTTCTGTAGAAACTCTGTATGGTTAGAGATATATCTATATGAATTATTGTGTCATTATAGATTGCAATGATTTCTATGGATAATGGTGTTGCATTGATCAACTACTCGCCTCGTGTGAACGGTGTTGTCGTCGATGCAAACAAAAAGCCAAGATCAATTTCAAATGTGCGAAATGCAAGAAATGTTCAGAACAAAACCATTGCTCGAATGAAAAGTTACACGATTCAGCAGAATATGTAAGACTTTATTTTAATACCAAAAACCATTGCTGGCTGTTGCTCTTTTCTAGGAAATTCTTTTGGTGGGCAATGTTGAATTTGATTGATAAACCTGTCTTTGTACTGCCTACGATTATAAGCATAACAACGATTATCGGTATAGTGATATTGTGTTTAGCCGCACCAAAATCACCAGGTATGTTCTTGTTGTTTTACATGATTTGTATTCATTACGATAAAAATCCACAGGTAATTTGGATCTGTTTTCCCAGTATTGTGAGCGTGGGTGTGAGTGTGTGGATGTGGGATAGGTGCGGATGTAGGTATGCGCGTCGACAAAGAGAACATGGAAACCGACACTCAGACCCACACCCACACCCACACCCACTCACACCTTCAGGTGTGGATGTCAATATTTCTCTTTCCTCTATTGAAACTTATGTACCATGGGCAGCAAGTAGTCCACACCTATATTCCAGATTTTTAACGAGTGTAAAAATATCCCCTATTCAAAAGACGATTTTCTAAAACATCATGGGTGCTGGTTTCATATTTCAAACAGATAAATATTATGGAAAAGAGCCATATCGATGGATGGTGATGCATTATTCTTTGTTCAACAAAGTTGTGCTTCATTCAGTTTTTACTGAACTATCATTATCATTAAATTAATTTTACTGTTTCTTTGATCTTTGGTTTTATTTTCATTTCACATGTCATCTTCATTTTGTTACTAAGTGGAAAGATAGCTTATTCTCTTTCTCTTAGAGAAGAGTCTTATGAACATAAATTGTTTGCTTGTTTGCTTGCTTGTATGTCAGCACTTCAGTGATTGGTCCAAAACAAAGCGAAGACAAAAGAAATAATTTTATATTAGACTTGACCAAAGGGTAATCGAGGGTGATGTGTTCGAATCTGACGTTTTCTTTAGCTAATTGTTAACTATTTATTGATTCAAAGTTGATAACTACTAATATTCTTTATAAAATTCGTTCCTAATTAATTAGAGACCACGAATCAAAATCTGAGGATATTTTTAACTGGTTAATAATTGATCGATTATTAATTGCTTTTCATTAACAATGTTTTTTTTTCAAAAAAATTGACTAAAGACAACAGAGGGCATCGAATACGGATCGGAGATCGCTTTTAATTAATAATGTGTTATTGATGAATTATTGCTTTTTTCTGTTTTGATAGAACTTGATCGAAGATGCTCGAGGGTGGAAAATCCAAATCTGGAGTCTGCTTTGAATTATTAATCATAAATATTTTTTACAACAGTTCAAAGGAAAAAAATGAAGATCAGATGTGAAGTTCAAAGTCTCTTGATTTTTTACTAAGTACACCTATTATTGGTGTTTTTTCTGAGGAACTTCATCGAAGAATTTTTGAAAGAACAAGTAAGAATGTAGATAGGTTTTTTTTAATAAGCTAGCGATGGTAAGAAGTAGTAAAACATACTAATGTCACTATGGTTTAGAGAAAAATTTTACTGGAGAAAATTTTGAAAGATGAATATCAATCTGGAGTTAGCCACTACTATTTTTGTCGATTAGTGAAAAATTGAAGAAGCGTTTATAATTGGCGCTTGTACGAGAAAGAGATGAGCGAGTCTACTGACGATCGTTACTTGTATTGTTCTGTTTTTATATAACAAGTAAGAAGGAGTAGGATGAGTTTGCCAAAAAAATCAGTTCCTGAAAATGTTTCTTTATTGAGATGAGAGAAGAAAATTTCTAAAAACATATATTCCTTCATTTAGGTAAACTTGTTATTTGTGAAGTTTTCTCTAATTTATGACTCGAACCAATGTGCAAAATATGACCTCAAATGTAATGCATTGGAAGTTCACTCATTAGTGTTTTCCTTCTGAATTGTATATGTTATGCTGATATTTCTCTATAGACCACGGTACACTAATAAGTCAACAAATATGGTATTTTGACCTGATATTTTGCTCTCATACATAGTTCATCATTATTAAAATATCATGAAGTTTCTAGTGAACACATGCATGTTTCTTGGAGGATAACGATGAAAACTATTCATGATGTGATTAGAGGATTGTTGCAATGCATCGTTACTGGCATTGTTTTTATTTTGAAATGATTCAAAACGTTTGTCATTATACTATATTTGTGACTGATAATATGTCACCAAAGAATCTGTCATATAGGAACGGTTACTAGTTTTGATCATGTATTAACAGCCAGTTCGTAGTTCTTATGTAAATAATATTAGTTGCGATGTCTGTTGTCTTTCAGTTATTGTGTGAGTTTCCGATGAGTTCTCTAGTAAATGAAAGAATATGCATAATGAATAATCTGAGTAATTAACTTCGCAATACTCAGCGAGTTTTGGAAAAAAAAGCATTGATACCCATCCATATTTGACTGTACTCATCTTCCACACTATCGATAAGAATATGATCAGAATCATGTGAATTTGATACAATCCATTAGTGGCTGTTGAGCCAGAGTAATTGATCCATCTTTATTTCTTGATTCTTTCCTTGCCTAGTCCCAAAATGTCAACTTAATTTCAAACCAACGACTCCAAATCCAGTTGATTATAAGTCTGATCCACGATCTATCACTATCGGTGACTTCAACAACGATACTTGGCTAGATATTGCTGTTGCCCACTATGCACTTGATCATATAGCGATATACTTTGGATATGGTGATAAAATTGCAGCAAGCCCTGTCATATATCCGACTGGTTTTGGCTCTGCTCCATGCATGATTGTTGTTGGTGATTTCGACAAGGATCATCGATTGGATCTCGCTATCGCAAACTTCGGTACAAATAACATCGGTATCCTTCTTGGATCCGAAAATGGCTCTTTTACAAGTCAAAAAACGTTTTCAACTGGCTCTTCTCGTCCCATTTGGATCCATGTAACTGATCTCAATAATGACACAGCATTAGATATTGTTGCTGCTGATTATGGCACACACAGTATAAGTATATTTGATGGATATGGAAATGGAAGCTTTGCAAAATCAGGCACGTATTCAACGGGCTATGATTCTTTTCCTTTTTCGGTTGTCAGCGGGGATTTTAATAACGACCAACAGCTGGATCTTGCTTTCACTAGTTATGGTACAAACAATATTGGTATACTCTTTGGAAATAGTAATGGCACTTTCGCAAATCTAAGCACGCTTTTGACTGGTTCTGATTCCCATCCATACTGGACTGCTGTGGGCCATTTAAATGACGATGAGACGCTAGATATCGCGGTCACCAATAATGGAAAGAATAATGTCGGTGTTTTTCTTGGGCATGGCAATGGAACTTTTGGACGTCAAACGACATATTCGCTTGACGCTGTTTCTCCATATTCTATTGGCATTGGTGACTTCAATAAGGACAATCGGATGGACTTAGTCGTCACCAATAATGGTACTGACAATATTGCTGTGCTTCTTGGAAATGGTAACGGTACTTTTGTAAATCCAACAATGTATTCAACTGGATCTTCTTCTTCGATCTACATTGCCATAGGTGATTTCAATAGAGATGATCGTTTAGATATTTTCGTCATCAATAATGACACGAGCACCATAGATATCTTGCTTGGCTATGACGAGGGCTTTCCGGTTCAAACTAAATATGACACTGGCTATTCACCACAGTGGGTAAGTATTGGTGATTTTAATAACGACACCGTACTGGACATTGCCGTCACCAATTATCAAGAAAACACTGTAAATATACTTCTCGGATATAGCGATGGCTCTTTTGCAAATCGAACGTCATATTCAACTGGGTCTGGCCCATATTCTGTAGTTGTTGGTGATTTTAATAATGACACCCAGTTGGATATGATTGTCACTAATTCTAGAGGTTACGACGTAAGCGTATTTCTCGGATATGGAAATGGCTCTTTTACAGATCAAACGACATATTCTACCGGTGCGTATCCGTATGGTTTAGCGGTTAGTGACTTAAACAACGACACCCAATTGGATATCGTCGTCACTAATTATGGTGACAACACGATAAGTGTACTTATGGGATATGGCAACGGCTCTTTTGAAAATCAAGTGACATATACAGCCGGTGTTACTCCACACGATGTAGCTGTTGATGATTTTAATAAGGACACCCGATCGGATATTGTTGTCACTAATATGGATGGCAACACTGTAAGTATACTTCTAGGATATGGCAATGGCTCTTTTGCAAATCGAGTAGAATATTCAACTGGCGCTTATCCAGATCGTGTAGTTGTGGCTGATTTTAACAATGATACCTGTTTAGATATCGCGGTCACTAATTATTTTGACAACACGATAAGTGTACTTCTCGGATATGGTGATGGCTCTTTTGCAATGCAAAAGACATATTCAACTGGCAATGGGCCAATCGGCTTAGCTGTTAGTGATTTCAATAATGACACCAAACTAGATATTGTTGTGAGTAATGCTGGAAATAATACCATAGGTATACTCGTCGGATATGGTAATGGTTCTTTTGCAAGTCAAAAGACATATTCAACCGGTACTTATCCATTAAGTTTAGCTGTTAATGATTTTAACAATGACACACGGCCAGATATCGTCGTCACTAATCGTAAGGATCATACTGTTAGTGTTCTACTTCGTCATGACAGAGGAGTTATGAAGAATGAAATTACATTTACGCTCAGTGCTGGTGCTCATTTAGCATGCGTTGCCGTTTCTGATTTCAATAAAGATAACCTATTGGATATCGCCGTTGCTAATTATGGTAGTAGTAACCTAGGTATCATTCTCGGATATGGAAATGGTATGTTTGGAAACGAATTGATACTTTCAACAGGATTACAATCTCATCCTTACTCAATTATAATTAATGACTTCAATAAAGACGATCAAGTGGATATTTCAGTAGTCAATCATGGTACTAAAAATCTTAATACATTTCTGGGAAGGGGGAACAGAATGTTTGAAAGTCAAGCAAATTATAGCACTAGTTTCAATGTCGCTCCATTGGCTCTTGGTGCCGGTGATTTCAATAGTGATGAACGTTTGGAAATTGTTGTTGCATATGAGGATATTGATAATTTGGATATATTCTTTATGTATGATGTCGGAGATTTTTCTCATCGAACGACATACTCAACTAGTCTTTGGCCAAGCTATGTAGCTTTTGGTGATTTTAATAACGATACTCGACTAGATTTCGTTGTTACTACGGAGTATTACAATAATGTAGCTGTATATCTTGGGTATGCTAATGGCTCTTTTGCAAATCCAACAACATATTTAGTTGGCAGGTCCTCATCCCGGGTAGTTGTTGGTGATTTTAACAACGACGACCGATCAGATATTGTCGTCCTTAATTTTAGTGACGACACTGTAAGTGTACTTCTTGGTTATGGCAATGGTTCATTTGCAATACAAAAGATATTTTCAGCTGGCTATAATCCATGTCATTTAGCGATTGGTGATTTTAATCAGGACAGTCGACTGGATATCGTCGTCGCTAATTATGATTACTATTCTGTAACTATTCTTCTAGGATATGGCAATGGTTCTTTTGCAAGTAAGATCAATTATTCAACCGGTTCTCGATCATTCTCTGTGGCTGTTGGTGATTTCAATAATGACACCCGACAGGATATCGTCGTCGCTAATTTTAATAACAACTCTATAAGTGTTCTTCTGGGATATGGCAATGGCTCTTTTACAAGAGAAGTGAAATATTCCACTGGCACCGCACCAGTATGGGTAGCTGTCTATGATATTAATAATGACAGCCGACTGGATATCGTCGTCACTAATCGTGATGACAACACTGTAAGTATACTTCTCGGATATGGTAATGGTTCTTTTGCAAATCAGACGACATATTCGACAGGTAATCTTCCACTCATCGTAGCAGTTGGTGATTTAAATAATGATAATCGATTGGACATTGTTACCAATAATTATCGTGACAGCACTGTAAGTGTACTTCTAGGAAACGGCAATGGTTCTTTTGCAAATCAAATGACATATTCCATTGGTACTACTCCAACTAGTGTAGCTCTTGTTGATTTGAATAACGACGGCCGACTAGATATTGTCTCCCCTAATTATTACAACAGAAGTATAAGTGTACTGCTAGGATATTTCAATCAAGTTTTTGTTAAACAAACGACGCTCGTCACTGGAAATAGGTCTCGACCAATGTCATTTGTCACAGGACATTTTAACAGTGACAATCACTTGGATATTGCAGTCGTAAATTCGGGTACTAACACCATGGGCATTTTTTTGGGATATGGTAACGGCTCTTTCACAAATCAAAAAGCATTTTCAACTTGCTCTACTCCAGTGTCTATTGCTGTTGGTGATTTCAATAATGATACCATATTGGATATCGTCGTAGCTAATTCTGGCAATGACACTGTTGGACTATTTCTTGGATACAGTAATGGTTCTTTTTCAAGCCAAAAGACGTTTATGACGGGCTTCGCATCTTTGCCTTGCATGGTCGCTGTTGGCGATTTCAATAATGACACTTTACTAGACATTATCGTCACCAATTATGGCGCCAACAATGTAGGTGTGCTGCTTGGATATGGTAATGGTTCCTTCGCTGACATAAAGCTTTTTTCGACCGAGTACGGATCTCGTCCATTCTCGGTTTCTGTGAATGATTTTGACAATGATGGGAAGCTAGATTTCGCCGTCGCTAACAAAGGTGCCGACAACATAAAAATTTTCTTACAGACTTGTTAATATTGGAACTTCTAACTTGCGTTTTTTTTATTCTATTCACTATTGCTAACTTTTACTTAGCGTTATCAACAAAGGAGAAACAGCAGACTTTTGTACTTCAAGTATGCTGTTTCTCCCTTGGTTATCAATATTTCCTGTAAGTTTTTTTTTTCGTTTTTAATATTTACCTCTTAATTTATATATTCATATAAACTATGAGTGAGCGCAGGATAATGCAACAAAAGGGAAGTAGCCGATTGTCGACAGTTAGAAAAAATGAAATTGAAATCAATTCAAGTTATTTTTATGATTATTTAAGTTTTATGCTTCTACTCATGTGTAGGTGAAAAAATGCACAAGAGTTTTACATAACGATATTGATATAGTCCTGTTATGTAATGATGCATATAAATATATTAATTTATTTTGAATTCATTCCAACCAGTAATGACAGTTCATGATGATATTCGAAAACCTTAATTTTTCCTTCTTTGTAATGCTGTTCGAGTTGATCGAGCTTATTTTGTAGGGCACATGTTTTCTGTGCCATATTTTTAAGTTGCCGCAATTAGCTTATTAATGAAAGACTAAATGTTTGGATGCTTCTTTTCGATTCGTTTATTGAATCAACAATGCCAGGCTGCAATGATATGATCTCCTGACTTTCCTAAATACTGATTAATGTACTCAATATGAATATAAGTCGAGCACATTCAATCGTTGTAACATCAATACTTGATTTTGTTTTAGTTTTGTTTAGTAGATAAAGCAACCCGTCACAAACCAAAATCGATTTCCGTTTGTTTCTGACCGAAAAGCTGAGAACAGGAGAAGTACACATAATAAAATAGAAGTGAGAACCAACTTCAAATAGATAAGATACAATAAGGTGTGTGGGTGTGGGTGTGGCTGTGTGGGTGTGGCTGTGGGTGTATGTGTGGGTGTGGGTGTGTGGGTGTGGCTGTGGCTGTGGGTGTGGGTGTGGGTGTGAATTAGTGCTAATGAAACATACCCACACCCACACCCTCAAAATTGGGTTTTAAAATATTCTTTATTTTTATTCAATAATTTTATTCCAATTATTCGAGTTTACTTCATAATTCGCCTTAATTTCAGAATTTTTTGATCAAAATTGATCGTCCACTGATTGAAACAAAAACTAAAATTCGCCAGCTTTTTTTTTTGACTAAGACAGCAATAATGAATGTCTACGTTGTGAATTTTAAAAAAATTACTAAATATCGACTTCATAATTCCCCGTGCAAATTGATCGAATATCCCATATGCACGTCATATTTATTCCATAAGTAAGTTATACGGAATCTTAAATAAAATAAAAGTTCTTGTATCACTTACCGAGATATAGAAAGTTTTCTTTTTTGATGACTTTTTTTATTATAAAAAAATTTTTCTCATTAGAAAAAATATAATTTTTAGTGTTCAAAAAAATAATCTTTTTCAAGATGAAAAATATTATTTCTTGTGTCTAAAAGAATATTTTCTCTCTGGACAAAAAGTATTATTTTCAGTTTTTAATAAAAAAAGCGTAAGTACTATAATTCTTATGAATTAAAAAGGTCGTTTTTATATAGGAATAATAGTTCATATTTAGCTCAACTGTTCGACGAAAGTGAATCGTAAGTAACCATATTCTAACCTATTTTTCTGCTTATGTTCGATAGATTTCGATGGCTCGAAATTTATATTCGATGGGTCTGGACAACTTAGAATCGAGACATCTATCGGACAAAAGTTCATTTTTTCAATGAAATTTCAACCCATCGGAAACGATTAATCGAGTAGTTGAAAATTACTAGTAAAAACAACCTATCGCCGAGTCCTCGACTCATCGGAAAATGGCAAACCAAGGGGTCGATTTGAAATTTCGATGCCCAACGGAAATCAAAATCGACGCATCGAAATATCTATCGAATGGTTGGTTGGGTAGAAACAGAAAATCATATTGAGTAAGACAAATAAAAACGCACAGCAAATGCAAGATGAATATTATCACAGAATTTATTTGAGTTTGAAGAGGCATTTAGAGGGTGTGGGTGTGGGTGTGGGTGTGGGTGTGGGTGTGGGTGTGGGTGTGGGTGTGGGTGTGGGTGTGGGTGTCGGTGTGGGTGTGGGTGTGGGTGTGGG